GTGTGTGTGTGTGTGTGTGTTTGCACAGGTGTAGCCTATATTCATGTCCATTTTTTCTCAGTGCCCCACATGATTGTGAATTGTTGCTGAGACTGCAGACAGAATAGTATTATTATCTATCAACAGTGGTCATATCGATATCAATTTGGCTTAATTCAGCACTGGCACCTCCAGTGTTTCAATCAGTAAATTGCAGAACCATCAATAATAAAACTTTATTAACCATAAACGTAATTTATATAGCACCTTTCACAGATACAAAGTGCTTTACAAGATAAAAATTAAGAAGTGAAGCCAAACAAGTGGAGCAAATACATATATTGAGATCAGAGCCATAACATGTACACAGAATTTCTCCATCTTCATCATCTCAGCTATACATGTTGTAGTTTTTAGCTCTTTCTGTTTCCGGACTGTGACTGTATAAAGATCATGCTTCTAAAAATACTTATTTTGATTCGCTCATTGACCATCATCTGGATCTGCACCAAATTTCACATGTTCGTATTTATTAGCAGTCTACAGTTCTCGGAAGGAAGTGAAAAACAAAATCCTGTATTCAGCCCCCTTAATTGAATCCACTTCAAAATTGAATGGGTTCTTCCTTTCACTGAGTTAAAAATAAAAATCGGTTTTGTAGTTTTTGTGTATTCCTGCGTATGGAGGACAAACAGGAATGAAACTTTAACTTCCTCAGCGGAGATGATGATTAAAATAAGATCAGTGCCAAGATAAAGACCTGCTAAAAAGTTTTTAAAAGTTCAAGGTGAATTCAGACACCAAGTCCTGAGAAGAAATTTATAAATTTTCTCTTTATTTGAGATTAATACAGGGCAATTAACCCTAATGCTGAAACAGCCCGGTCACTTTTAGTAGCTGATGGCCTCTAAAATAGCTGAACACATAAAATACAAACATTATCTGTGTGAAGTAGAACGTCTGAAGTTTAATGTTGGATTTATCGTTTTTTGAATGGAGTCTCTAGTATGGCCACAAAATAAAGACCAGCTCCTTTAGAGAATCCTGCTCCAAACTTTGACCTGCTCTTACATGTGCAGTTGGTTAGAGAGATGTCTACAAATGTTTACCCAACACAAAAAACAATTTCTACAGACTCCTCTGCTCTGTCACCAACCAACAAAGGGCTGAAATCCACTGCCCTGTTCTGAGTCTGGATCAACACAACCCTGCCTAGTTTTACTGCAGAGAAAGATGTGCTGTCAGTGTTTGGTCCTAGTGCGAGCAAAGCACCATCGTCCCCACGCTGAAATGGAAAAACAGACAAAAACAAAATCCCACATTTAACCACTTTAAATTCTGCCACAAAATGTGTTGCAAGAGTTCCGATTGAAATAGTAATGGATGAAAAGTGCATAATGGAAGCACAAAGAGGGGATGTTTAAAATTACTGCTGCGATTATACCGCTGAGTACTTGTCCTCTAAGTGCTTTGTGTGAGTATCCCCCTGTGTCTAATTGTACTGGGTTAATATGTTTTCACTGTCCTGTGTGAGCACTGTCCCATACAGAAAATAGTATGTGATTATAAAGTGTCCTGGAGGTTTTCTGTTGGTTGCCTGTTGTGTGTATAAGCAAACGTCTAATACTCTATATTATACTATACAGTTCTCTTTATCAACGAGGTTCGTGCATGTTCACATGCAACCCTGCTACGCTGCAGATGAAGTGAAACAATATTCAAATTAAAGTTTTGTGTAATCCTGCTAACCAACAGAAACACAAACAAAACTAAAACATAACCTCTTTGATGAAGGTAATTATAAAGAAAGGGACACTGCAGTGGTTTGGAATAAACTTTTTCTTATTGTATAGTTTCATGAAATGTTGCTTTGGAGGTCATCAGGTACAAAGCAGACATTTGGCTGAATCGGCTCTTCTCTGTAAAAACTGGGATAAATGTCTAAAGTTACAATGAAATCTGGAGCTCCACCTAATTGGCCCAGTGAGATCATGACTGCATATTGTGTTCATTAATTCTACATGGTGATCACACTGAGAACTACACGATCTTTGGCTGACTTTCTGCCCCCTCTCCCCAGTGTGTTGTTTGAGTGGAAGGAGCGACTGAAGCAGGGCTGCCATCTCATCCAGACCACGCCCTCCGGTCGCCCAGCCAATATCAGCGGCAATTCCTCTCAACGCATCTACGTCACTTACCGCCGGGCGCCTGAGAGTCAGCCACATGCCGCCCTGGCGGTCACAGACATCTGCATCATCATCCCGAGCAAGGGAGAGTCACCTCCACACACCTTCTGTAAGGTGGAGAAGAATCTCAACAGCAGCATGGTGAGAGAGACGCAGACCTATAGAAAACTTGTTATCATTGCTACACAGACATATTTGTACTTATATTTCATCTGATGACGTCAGGTCCAATTTGCAATCAGTCTAAGAGGTAATTTGATGATGTTTAAAATATTAAATAAATCAACTATTGTACCAAATTTGAGATGATGCTTTTTTTTTTTTTTWTTTGCCGAAATGTGATCCCACATGCTAACGTTTCCCTTTCTGCTCTTTTTATGCTAGTGGGGCTCATCTGTCTACCTGTGTTACAAGAAGTCTGTGGCCAAAACCAACACAATAGCCTACAAAGCAGGTAAGCCTTCCTAATCCCTTAACTACTGATGCACAGAGATCCATATGTTTTCCTCCTGTTACTGGTTACTGGAAAACTGAATGGATGTATTTCTGTCGTTACAAAATTACAACTCGATTCGATTTGAAGTGATAAGTGTGGATTGCATTAAGCACATTACCAGGTTCTTCATGTGTTAGAACTGTGCTGTTGCAGCAATGTCTCTAGAGGAGGGTCGGCTGCTGCAGGGTGAACTGGCTGCAACAGGAAACTGCTGCAGCTGTACTTGCATGTTCAGGCTTGTTGATGCCTCAGATTTGCAATAATTAGATAAGCCTCTGCACGCCTTTATTTTTCCTCTTTAAAGGGTTTAAATGGTTGCCATATCTATAAAGGATTATTTCACATTAAATCCATTTTGTTTTTCGGTGCCAAAAACACTTTGACAGCCGACTGTCTGATCGCACAGTTGGCTCAGCGGCTGCTTTCGACTCAGATTGGCTTTTGTCATAAACGTCTTAAATGAGCAGCAGACTGTGAATGGAGAGATTCTATCTGTTTCTCTCTAATGCTTTGGATGAGTCAGCTCAAAGAAATTTAGTTTATTTTCAAAGTTCCTGGCCAGGAAACATCCAGCATGCATCAAGCTTCAAGTTTTGGAAACAGATGTATTTGGCCACATCTGTCTTTGTTTCTCGACAGATGCAGGAGTTTGATACAGAACTGAACAAGCAAAGCTACCTTTTGTTGATGAATCCATGGTTTTTGTAGGAAATGAGAAGAAACCAATTATATATAAACCTCAAACAGGGATGTGCTGAAATCACGTCAGTATACACTCACTTGGCAGTTTACTTGGCATAACTAAATATGTGATATGCAACGAGAGTAAAGCCTGCTTACTTGTGAATACCACACAGTCATTGGTGTGTGTGTGTTTGTGTTTATACAGAATTGTTGAATTGCACAGTGTGGATTATACTATTTATTTAAGAGTGTCATCACCGGAGCAAAGAAAATATTCCCCAAAAAACTTTAGTTGCTGACTACATGATACAGCAGTTTCTGTTTATTTCCTCAGCGGGTCTATAATAAAGCTACAAACAACATGAAAAATGATTATTTTTTTATCGACGTTAGAAAAAAAGTTCCCACTGCTCATTCACATAATAATAGTAAAGAAGAAGTAAAGTTTAAGGTGTAAAACTCCACCACCGTCGCTGGAACATCATACACAAACATTTAAGCTGAGAGTTTTGCAACTCGCCAACAAAACCTCCCGATTGATCTGCAGTAAAACACAGTTTGGAGACCAGACATACAACTTGGGGGTTTCTTCTGGTAAAACACATTCTGGTCTAACACTAACATTTCGAAACCTTTGGCCAAAAGGTTTCGGGCATGGGGCCTTGTCAGGGGATTTCCAACCGTGGTGTCATTACAGTCTCCTGTATATAACCAAACGTAGACTTAAGGTGGTCCACGCACAATCGTTGTGGCTGTAGACTTGTGTAGTCAGCCTACCCTGTTACGACACCCCTGGAGGTTGAAAATGTGCATTTACAATTTTTGTACATTTGAAAAGGGTTTGCTGAAACACTTTTTGTTGTGGTCTGACAGTTTGTAGGTTTGTTACTTGGTGTTTAAACAACACAAACTGTAGCTGCTTGTGTCTGTCAGTGATGCTTGTGTTGCGTCATCTCCGAGCCAAAGTTACATGTTACCCAGACAGAGCAAAACAAATTCACAACTTCATTGTTTGTTGTTTGTGTCCACTGACAGTGACTAATCACCTAAAGGCCTCATTACCAAGCACTGGTTTCTTATTACAAAGCCATTGAAACACTGAGTCGATGAAGTCGCATGGAATCATTGTGACTAAAAAAAACTGAACTTGTTTTGTTTCATTCTTAGCTCATTAGAAAGACAGTTCTGAATCTGGATTAGCTGTTAATTGGTAATCACAGAGGGAAGCTGCACTTAGCATCTCCCTTAATTGAGCCTGTTTGTTTATTTTTTATTTCCTGTTAGGTTTATTCAGCAGATATCCAGAGGAGGACTATGAGTCATTCCCGCTGCCAGAGTCGGTCCCTCTCTTCTGCCTTCCCATGGGAGCCACGATCGAGTGTTGGCCGGCAAACACCAAATACTCCCTCCCTGTTTTCTCCACCTTTGTCCTCACAGGAGCCTCTGGAGAGAAGGTAAGACGGAGGAGGATCTCTATTCTACTTTCTGTCCGTGTCTCACAGCAACACGACTAACAAACATATCTATAGCAGCAGCAGCAGCAGCTATAAGAGGCCCTGCAGTGACCGTTAGACCTCATCAACAGGCTCTAACTGCCATCTATACAGCTGACACGACCACAGTGTGGAACGAGAAAACCACAAAGCTCTGGATGCCAGAAGGGAAAGTGGGTCAGGCATGCATGTCGCTATTGTCTGTAGAAAACCTTGCATCTCCACATCCAGGCTTTCTATTTTTAGGAGGCGCTTATTGGCTGAAGAAGAAAAAGATAGAAAGTGATTTAACGGAATGAGGGTTTGCATTGGTGAAGCTGTATTTTCTGAATTAACCGACATGTGAGATTTTTTTTTCAGTTAATTGCGCAGCCCTACTCTGACATGTGTTTTCTCATTTTTACATCATATCCCAGTTCAGTGGGTCAGATAAACTTTTATCACAGTTTTAAGAAACTTAAAAACACTGGCTCGGTTATTCCCCCCCAAAAAATACCAGCATGTTTTAAAATGTAAATTTCCGTCAAAGTAATCGTGAAATACGTGTTTTCTATTATTTATGTTTTATATGACATTGTGTGTTTTCATGTTTCTGATAATTTTGTTTTTTGATTTGAGCGTGAATCAGGAAAGTTTCAGGTTTCCAGGAAGCAGATTTATTTGAACTAATGCTGATACTGGCTCAGCTAACTGCTGCTTGTTTGGCACTCGTGGTATTGACGTTCAGTAAAGGTTAAACACCAGTGCTCCACACTCTCCTTATTTCTATGCATATCAATGTTTCCATTCAATAAAGAGTGCAGGGATGAACCAGAAGGCTGCTCCTCTTCATTATAATGTGGCCGGGTCATCTGTCGGACTTGAAGCTTCATCTTCTGGAAATTATTATTAAACAAAATCTGTTTCTGACTTGGGGTTAAAGTTAGAATCAGGTTAGACGGAGGGTTGGGGGTGGATGTGATGGTGGAGGTTGGTGTTATGTGTCCTGAAGTAAACGTGTTCTTGAAGGTTTGTGTTTATACATTACTGCAGATAATTGGTTGTTATTTGCAGCTGTCTTGATGATCGATTATTTAATTATTTTTCAATTAAACTGACTGAACATTTGCAGGTTGCAGCTACTCTGTGCAAAGTATTTTCTGCTTTTAAATTATCTGGCATCTTTGCAACTAATTGTTGTGACATTTTATAATGTCAAAATGATTAGTTCATAATGATTAATTTGGCAAAATGATTACCTCAGTCAAGGAGGTTTCGTTTTCACCCGTTTGTTGGTTGGTTTGTTGTCAGCAGGATGACACAAAAGCTACTGAACAGATTTCCAGGGAGCCAAAAAATAAAATATTTTTCTTTTCACTGAACATTCTGAGATAGGAAGGTTTTAACGTGTTTACAGATTCCACAGAGAATAATTAATGAATCTTGGTGGACTGATTTCTGTGAGTTTGTGCTGCTTGATTAGATTTAAGGGGACTGTTGGCCCTGAACACAGAGACGAAACAGATGCAGTAAGAGGTGCATGCAAACAGAACTGTTTTCGTGACCCCCGACCTGCACATTTCACCCACAGGTCAAGAGAAATGTTTTGCCAGTTCGACCTTTAAACGAAAATCCAAAATGGAGAAGTGTCTAAGTGTGACATCAAAAACACGACAACAAAGCAATGCAGTTGTGTAACCAACGTGTCTCCTGTTCCAGGTGTACGGTGCTGCCATTCAGTTCTATGAGCCCTTCCCGCAGGAGTGTCTGACCGATCAGCAGCTCTCCCAGCTTGGCCTCCTGAGCCTGGATCCACACAAACCCTCCTCCACCTCCCCGAACCCTGCGGCCTCAGCTAGCGGCAACACCACCAACCCCCGCCTGGTTTACACCAACAAGTGTATCTGTCTACTCTCTCACTGGCCCTTCTTTGACGCTTTTCGCAAGTTCCTCACATTCCTGTATCGCTACTCCATCTCTGGCCCTCATGCCCTGCCCATCGAGAAGTGAGTCGCCTCTCGTTTTCAGCCTTTGATGCTCTTCTAGGTTCTTTCTGATTGTCAGTCTTGAACATAAAACATATTCTGTTCTCTTCACATATGTAAATAGAGGTGCAATTGCATCCATCTCAAATGATGTAACCTTCACTGCAGTGCAGAGTCAAGAGTTTCTGACGACAGGAAGTTGTGAAACATATAGTTTATTACCAACTCGTTAAGTCTCTCCTCAAAATGCTGTGCTCTTTCTGTTTACGGATTCGTATCCAACGTTGAGCATAAGTCTGTAGTAGTTGACGTTGACACAAATATAACATTCTTGCATATCGGAGTTTACTATATGGTGTTAGATATCTGAAATCATCTTAGGGACAGATGGCAATACTCACTATTTTACATAATATTATTAACTTTGTATGTTTTCTCTACATTTGGGGAAACTAAAGAAAAGTGAAAAAAATATAGTGACAGTGACAAAATAGGTCCATGAATAAAAATTCCATCACCCATAGCTGTTCTCCCTACCAGGGTTAAGTTGTCGAAACCAGGATATTTACTTGACGTTATCCTGGTCAGGTAACGTGTGACAGAAGATTCATGCCTCCTATGTTTTACTGCTGCTCATAACTCGTACACATCTGAGAGGGGTGAGCTGATGGATGACTTGGCCGCCCACTGCAGTTATTTTTGGCCTCACATCCTCCCCGTTCTTCTCCCTCCCAGGCACATCTCACATTTTATGCACAAAGTTCCCTTCCCCTCCTCGCAGAGGCCTCGCATCCTGGTGCAGGTATGTTTTGCTCACAAGGTATTTGTGATTTTCTTTGTAAAAAGTGCACAGGTAATGTGTCATTGTCTGCATTGTAATGTGTGTTGGTGTTTTGATTGTCTGAGGGGTGCAGGCGAGGCAGAATTTAGATCCTCCGCTATGGTTGAATATATGAATTATTCAGTGTAGGTGTATTTTTTCTTTTCTCTTTTTTGCCTGGTCGGTTTTATATCACTCTCCATCTTTTCTACAGCTTTCCCCTCATGACAGCCTGATGTTGAGCCAGCCAGTATCTTCTCCTTTACCCCTCAGGTGAGAGAAAAAAAACACGTCAGCCACTAATTTGCCTCAAATGATACATGGCTGCAGTGTATGTGCTGAATAACATTTTTCATATGCATTGATTTTTTTAATTTGTGGGACACAAAGTCTATTCATTCCCAAGAATATGAATATTTTTTTGTAGTGGTGGACGATTTTCCACGCTGCTCCAAAACCTCGGACCAGAGAACGCCATCACCCTGCTGGTGTTTGCTGTCACCGAACACAAGATCCTGGTGCACTCGCTGCGTCCGGCCGTACTGACCAGTGTCACTGAAGCTCTGGTGTCTGTAAGTTACTGCATTAAACCAGGAGCTTATTGTGATAGAATGATGAGGTATAGTTGTGCAGGAGACTGAGGCTTGGGATTCAATTTTGACCCGTTACCCTTTGCACAAAACAAATCAGCAGCACATAACATCTGTAATCATGGAAATTACGCTTAGATCAAAAGTCAGTGAAGGCCTCACTTTCTCCTCTTCCTCCCACTCCTCAGATGATCTTCCCGTTCCACTGGCCATGTCCGTATATTCCTCTTTGCCCTCTGGCATTGGCTGACGTGTTGAGTGCCCCCTGTCCATTTATCGTGGGAGTGGACTCTCGCTACTTCGATCTTTATGACCCCCCTCCAGATGTGAGCTGCGTGGACCTGGACACAAACACCATCTTCCAGTGAGCATCACACAAATCCTCCCATCGCTGTTGTTATTTAGGGAAAATACTCATGCGAGGAGTGAAATCTATGATATTAACATTATCTGTCTTCACATCGACTCATGATGAATACCGTACGTGCTGTTTAAAGGGTTAACTTTAGGGCAGTGAGCCACACATATCATGTTCAGCACTTCCAGCTCTTAAGATCAACATTGTTTCCTTTTGCATATTTTTTCCAGACCACATTCGTGCCTGCTCATGAGTTCTAAGTTTAGAGATCGCGCCAATTTCCTGGAGCCTGGTGGAAATTTTTATTTTTGCAATGTCAGACTTGTTTTAATACGAAGCGAATGCAATTTTCTGGTATGTCAGGTGAGGCCAGTAATGGTTCACATCATTTTTGGCCTCATTAGCAGCCAGACAGCGTTAGGGTGGTCTGAACTCCGCTGGCTCGACCACTGTCCGTGTTGGTTTAGGCCTCTCAGCCTCTCAGCAGCTCGGTGTCTGCCTCTGCTTTTTCAGCAATGAAGATAAGCGAGCACTCACATGGAAGATCCTGCCAAAGAAAGCCTGTAAAAACCTGATGAATGTGCTGAGCAATCTCTACCAGCAGCTGGTCGATGGTGAGTACTGAGCTGATAAATGAACTGCTGGAATACATTTTCATAAAAATGTGCCAGTTGTTTGATTTTGTTGTATTCATTTCATGGTCAGTCCTGCGTGTCTGTTAAAAAATTTATTTCAGGAAACGTTTCAAATTTGTGGTTTTTTCTATTTTGTGTTCAGTTGAAGAAATTATGTCTGAATATCGAGTCAAAGTCCAGCCTCATTCTTCCACACGAGCCAAAAAAACCACGAACTATGAACATCTGTCTTTTATCTCCAGTGTGAAAGGGTGCAATCCCTCCCAGGTCAAATGACTCCGCAGTAGTCACGTTTATTTATCGGCTCCAGCTCTGACTGGTGGTGAAATTTGACACATGCGTGAACACAATGATTTCTGCACTAAAAACACACATTTACTGATCAAAGCGTCTCACAAGGAGGCTCAGGCTTCAGTAGCTTCAACCCACTGATGAGATGCAATGGATCCCTTTCACCAGTCTGCACAGGAGCTATAGCGGCTCACAGTCACCCCCGCTGGGTAGGGCTAGCTAATGCTTTTGTCGATCAGCCAAAATATTGCTTACCAGAAGTTGTGCTCTACTTTATTCAGTAGTGAACTTGAATGCCATCTTTTCATTTTGTAGAAGTCTGCAGGTTTGTCGCTGGAAGAAATAATTGTTTCACATCTAAAGCAAACTTGTATACTAATGAGAAAAGATTCAATTGTAATTTAAAAACATGTATTTACACACCAATTTTGGTGTTAAGGGTTTAAGACTTCTTTGACTATATAATCACCTTGTCTAATCAATAAAAGAAAAAAAAGTAAATGTGTGGCTAAGTGAGGTCCTCAGAGGGTTCTTTGATGAGGTTCTACCTCATTCATCATCATTAGTTTTGGATTCTGTTGTCTTTCCAATTTGTCCTTGATTCAATCCAATCAGCAGAAGCTGAAAACCAGCAATAATCCTATCATAGCATTATATCCCAATTATCCATCTGCCTTCAGCTCCAGGCTCATTGTATTATTGTCAACTTTTCCTGCTGTTCACAGAGCACACTCTCCGAGCTCACTCATGAAACCTGCTGCTCGTCGAGCTGTAGAAATTGAATAAATCAATTTACTGATTCAGTGAACGTGAAAATCTACCCAGCTGCTGCCACAAGTGCTGAATATTGATATGTCAGTCAGAGATTTAATTAGAGACATTTAAACCTTGTAGACCTTCAGAAACTCAAGTTTATTGAGTCTAATGACATACTCCTAGTGCTCGTTCACCAAACAAGACTTAAAGCAACACTCTGTCATGTTTTACCATAAACAACTAGCTTCAATATGAGCTTGATAATTAATTTCTCCTTTCCTCACCCTGAGGGTCTGTTCTGTGTAACTGTGGTGAGTGGGTACGATCTTCTGTGAGATGTGTGGAACTGACTCATAGTCGCTACTTCAACTGTCAGAATCAGGGATCCAGTAATCACATTCATAGACTTTGATCATAATGACCTAATCAAAAATCAAATGATGGCACATTTTCAACCTCAGTTTGAAGTGATGATTGAACGTTTATGTTGATGCTTATACGTAACGACTCAATGCTGAATGAATTATTGCTCTGTTTTCAGGTCAGCACCGACCTGATGGGCTGCTGGAGCTGAGCATGAGCGACTCGTCAGAGCTGAGCTGTGGGAAGAGTCTTCACACGCTGGAGCTGGAGATCCAGGAAGCCTTCCTGCGCTTCATGGCAGCCATTTTGAAGGGCTACCGTTCGTTCTTACGACCCATCACCCAGGCGCCGTCTGAGAAAGCCACAGACGCTAGTTCACTCTTTGACCTACAAGGTATCTGTGTTATAATATAATAATATAATACACTTTCCCTGTGCAGTATTCTGGAGACTCAGAGGAAACAGGGTGAATAGATGAACCCCTCTGTCCTTTTTCTCAGCAGCCTGCTTAAACAAACCATCTATTGACGACATTTCTTTTCTCTCAGAAATAAAACAATCTGCATGATGGCTCCCACCAAAGTGTTTATTGATTGCAGATGGTTCAAGCTTTGCTGTTTTAATACCAGTAATCTGACATGTGCAGTGCCAGCTGCTCCACCACAAGCTCCTGAGAAAGATGGAGCTAATCTGTGCCTGGTTGAGTTTTTTGGTTTGCTGTTGTGGGTGGAGAATTCACCCACCTGGCTTCAGAGGCTCACAGACACGTTTGTGTATCATCGTTCAAACAGAACATGATCATATCGCTTTGGCACGATTTGACAGATGCCTTGTGATGAACAGATAATGAGCTTTCACCTAAAGGAGACATATTACGTTCTTTAGTGTTTCTTTCTGCTAGTGTGCAACTCCTCAGCCGCAAATTGTCCCTGGTACGAGGCAGCTCTGCACCGCTTTGATCTCAGAAGTGAGAGCCCCTTCCTCCCCCATATGCTGTAGTTCCTCCACAATGTATTTGTGTTTTCTTCTATATCGATCAGATTATTGACTTGTCTTCTTGTGAGTGATAAATGTGAATAATCATCATCTGGAGGACCTTTTGCAACAAAAGATCGGGGATATCTCGGTACAAGGCTGGTTGAAAATCCGCAAAGTTCCCATTTAAATCCAAACCTCTTCAATCAGATTTATCTTTTGGAGAGAACCTGTTTGAACTGATTTGCATTGCGCTGGTTTTTTTCATGCTTAAGCTCTTTGAAAAATGTGATGTTTAGTTTGTATCCACAAACATGACTTGGAGGCGACACCTTATCTTTAGTCAGTTTCTCAGATCAGTCACAGTCTCAGTCAAGGTTCTTGCGACCCAGAGCGGTTTCTTATTTCTATTTAAATAATCTGAGGTCTGATCTGAGAGATTGATTTGAAAGGTTAAGCTGTTCGTGTCGGAAAATCAATAACATTCTCAGTATATTAGAGCCTGTGAGTAGATCCATTGTGTTGGTTTGAGGACTAATATTAAAAAAGGTTTAGTTTGATCCACTTATTTGTTGTTGTCCAGTCTTTAGTCGAGGCTGTGAAGCCTGAGTCTATGAATGTATAAAGAATGCTGTGTCATCTGTAGCACCTTCTTCTCACCAGCTGGTCAGATTCAAAAACAGATGGTGCTGTTTAATACATGAGCTTTCATAAGTGTCCATCCCCACCTCTGAGTAAACACACAGACACTGTTTACGTAGCGTTTTCCGGGGTCGGAGGTTCAAGGCTGTTTTGCAGACTGAAGGTTACGCAGCTACCAAAGCCTCCAGAGCCTCGAGTCCGGCCTCTGCATCTGGAGCGTGTTCACGTCATGGCTGGAATGAGTTAAAGTGAAATCATGGCTGCGCCGCTTGAGGATGGCTGCAGCCAAGGTCGTATCCAGAGTGAGTTACATGATATAGCAAACAGGACTGTCTGCAGGACGTTACATAATGACTCAGCTGAAGAAATATGTAAAAGCCTATACATCAGGTGGATGAAAACAACAACATAAAATATAGAATGTGTTACCTTTTTTCTGATGCCTCCCAAAATAGCGGTGTCCTCTGTTATTTAATTGTATTTCAGTCCAGCATCTGTCACCTTAACTTCATTAAATGCAGGGAGTGTCCAGGAGTGTCTGGGGTCCCGTCTCTAAATAAGATAAAGAGCTGAGAGGAGTCCGAATAAATGATCCAGGTTGCAGATCAGCATCAGGATTATAGACTGTATCTAAAGATGGACGACATGAAAGCTGCCACAAGTGAAGTGTTTCGATCGACTCCCGGTGGCTGATACATTACAGATCACAACCCTCACCTCCTCCATGTTAGCGGCACGTGGTGCAGTGGTTAGCACTGTAATATCCCAGCTTGGCTAGGTCCTAGACAAACAAATGACAATTTAATTATTTATTAAATGCTCCGAAAATGAGTTGAGACTGACTCAATGATTGTTCAAGCGAGTGTAGAGGCGGTATCCTGATACTGCGGCTCCCTCTCTGGCTCAAAATGATGGCAGCGTTTGCATCTGGGATATTTTAGCTTTGTTTCTGTATAGAGGTGGGAAGTGCAGACACATCGTCTGTCTTTATATATAGTCTAGGAGCTTGGGATTTAGATTTTCATCAGCTGCAGGAAGTGTTTCTAAGTGTTTGGCTTCCACCTCTGTGCCGTGAGCCAGCGTCCATCCATCCTGCTTTCAGTCTCACAGCAGCAGCAGCGGTGGCTTATTAGTCAGTTAAACTGCTTTCAGCATCAATCAAGGAAGCGATTCACTTTGTTTCCCCTCCTACATCCCTAAAAGGCCATTACACTAATAACATTGTGTTTGGCTGCTGCTGCATCATCCAACACAAGACAAATGGAAGTTGTATACGTTATACATGGAGCCTTTTATTGGATAATGGATTGTTCAACCACACCTTTCACTCCTGTCAATCATTTTTCAGCAAAGGAAATAATTTAGATGTTTATTAATAATAATAATAATAGTTTCTAACCTTTGGTAATTTATTTGAAAGCTAACGTTTAACATTGATGCCCTCAGGATTCTTGAAAAGCCGTGACCGCTCTCACCAGAAGTTCTACTCACTGATGACGAAGACCCAGATGTTCATCCGCTTTATCGAGGAGTGTTCGTTCGTCAGTGACAAAGACGCCAGCCTGGCCTTCTTCGACGACTGCGTGGACAAGGTGAGCTTGTTATTCCTAAATTGTGCTGCTTATATTTTCTTTCTGATACAGTGGAATCAAGCTTCTGACAAAAACCTACAACAAAGATACAATTCCTTCATCCTTCCTCTTCTGGAGTGATTCTGTTTTTCTCTCTTTATCATCCTACAACAGTACTAGTAGCTTCAACTCTCTCCTGTGTTGGTTCACCTGCTTCTCTCCTTTTCTGATTTCCCGAGTTTTTCTTGTCTCTTTTCTCTTCTGCCTCCATTTGCGAGCAGCTCTACAATTCAGAGCGCAGTGCGGACAAAGGAGGGAAGGTAAGTCTATTATTACTTGTTCGATTCTGGGTTAATTTTGTCTCCAGGTGGGAGATTGGTGCTTGGTGCATGCTCCTAACAAACAACAAAATCATTAGAAATTGAAATAAGTTGTACAGGAAACTACTACATCCATGCTAGTAAGTTTTCGTCACACGACCCTCTTCTGGAAGAACAGGCATCAGCCTCAGCTGCTAGTGTAGAACACAACATAGATAAAACAAGTGTGACTGACACTTGTGGAAACTGATGTTCAAAGATTGTTTTAGTTTGAAAATGTCTTATTCAAATGAAAAACATAGTAATGTGGATGTAGCCCTTGACTCTGAGGGAAGCAGTTTGCCTTCAGACAACCCCCCCCACCCCCCCGCTTCTTCAGCCTGAGCTGTCATGTTCATTTTCCCGCTCACTCATCAGAGTCTGATTCATAAGGAATACATTTAAATTAAATACTGTGACTACCCTGGAAGATGATAGTTTTCCATTCTTCGAATTTTAATTGTTCACAGCAAATTTGCTTCGGCAGCGGTTTTTAAGATGGTGAAAGAAAATTCTGTATGCACAGTTTTCTGTGCTATATACTTTTTCATGAGTACAGTGAGTCAGGGCTTTTAATGCTTCAGGGATTTCTGATGCGCTAACGGAGCATGAAGAATTTTTAAAACCATCCTCTGGGCTCATATCCTCCAGTGTGACAGTATGAAGAGACCGTCAGTGTTTCATCTCTGCTCCACCGGGAGCTTTTTCAGCGTTTTACCCTGTTGCGCTCACAGTATTACTTCATCAGACGTGTGTGCTGAAGGTTACATTTTGTGTGTTTGCCGTCTTAAAGTCCACAGAGCCATTCCCTTCCATGTCACGTCTGAGGGATTTTTTACAGGTGACATTTGAAATAGACTTGGCTGTCCTCTGATCACTTGTGTGTGTATGTGTTTTGGCTATGATGGAGACATAGTGGAAGTGAATTCTGAGGCCAGCGTCCACAGCTTGTCTTTCCTGTTGCCCCAGACGTGCAGTGGGGTTTTCTTGTCCTTTCTATGCATCAGGTTCACGGGCGTTTGAATCTGACTGAGTCTTTGTGACCTGTGGCTGGATCACATTATTTACTCAGAGAGAAAGTACACTGCAGCACTCGGCTCACATAGACGTTGTACGACACTCAGTCACACAGAGAAAGATAAGGTTAACATGTATTGATCCCCGAGGGAAAGTAGTTTATCGCAGCAACAAATTTAATTAAATCCAGCGGAGGAACAACACCGAACAGAAACTAATCATACAAATGAAATATAATTGAATCAATTAAGAGCTTTAGAAAGCTTAACAGTAAAATGGTGGAATTGAATGTAATACTTGAATGGTACTTAGAGGAGCGCATACCTCCGCTTATGCTCAACAGTCCCATTTAAATTCACTAGATCCAGACGTTTGTTTGAATCTGCACCAAATTGCACACACGCCATAATGTATGTGTTCTTTTTTTTTTGCTCGTGTCCCATCCCACCACCAAGATTCGTAGAAATTATCTGTAGTTTTTGTGAAATCCTGCTGACAAACAAGGAAGCAAACAGACTGACTGACGGGTAAAGACATGACCTCCTTGACCGAAGTGACAACTGTGGAATTCCCTTTTTAACCAGACAGTAATTTATCATGTGCATTACAACCCACAACTGTTATTATTTTAATTCTATTTAAATTGAAGTTTCGATTATTATGAAAAGATTTGTGATTCCCTCACTGTGTGAATTGTTAAGGCTAGTTTCTGTTTGTTTGTGTGTGAGAGATAGAGACAGGTAGCAGAGAGGTAGAAAAAAAAAAAACAAGAATAAAGAGAAATGGAAACATGTTCACTTGGGAAATCTAGGTCACCTGCTGTCGTCCTCCCTCAGCTCTGCCAGACACACTTTTTGTCAGAGTCCTGCGCTCAGAGTGACGGATATGAAGCTGCTTTAAATTTATGTTTTAGTAAAAGTGTTTATTTAAAAGGTGTCAGGCCAAACACTGAAACATTTATTACAGGGCATAAATTCAGGATTCAACGTCCTATGAATTACTCCCCATTTCTATCTGCTGTGCACCACCACCCACACGTCTCTGCTTGTGTGTGTGTTTGATTGTGTGCGTGTGTGTGTGCTCTGCAGGTGGACAGTGAGAAGCCCGAGGAGTCCAGGCTGATAGAGTTTGATGAATCCCAGCGCAGTGAGCACACGGTCTTTATCACACCTCCAGAGCTGCCTCCCCTGCCTGAGGGGGAGGAACACCCGCTCTGCTACAGGTACATTAAAAATTGTAATACTCAAATGGTGGAAGACATAAAACATTCATTTGCCAAGATACATTTTATTGTTTTAGCTGGATCGTCGCTCTCGTTTTAAATGTGCAGTGAGTCACTGTAACCCAGATTTCGCACCAGAAGAGAAGGTGTTGTGTTGTTAGATTGAATCATGTGCTAATAACTCAATGACTTCATCTGTGAACAGGCTGCTACTACACAAACATGTTCCTGTGTTCCTGAGCCGTACACAGGACTGACACTTAACAGCATGGAGAAAATTACAGAATCTAAATAATGAAAATCAGTGAATTTAAACTTGGAACAGCCGATGATGAGGATCAGCAGGACTCCCGCTCCCTTACTGGGAGTAAAGACCGAACATGACTGCTGGTCTGTGTGGGTCTGAATTTGTGGTACTTGTATTCCGCTCTGTATTGCTCTGTATAATTTATGCTTTTTCAGAACCACTTAAATTAAGCTGCCCTAATAATCCATAATGACCCGCAGCTTTCCAGAATTTTTATCATCTCTCGTTGAATATAATTAAATCCAAACCATATTTATGATCACTGTGACCTTGGAAGGAATTATTTTATTTCAAGTGTTACTGAAATATGACTTTTAATTTTCAGACGCTGGTGGATTCCTCATGAGTTCATATAGACCGATAGATGTTTTAGTTGTAAAACTGTGTGACTGCTTTCACTAAAATGTGTGCATGTATGTTCTTTGTCAGGTACGATGGTTTCCCGGTGTTAAGTCTTGACCTGTTTGACCCGGTGGAGGGTCTGCGGACTCCCTCCTCCCGCCTCGCTGCCAGACACAGCTGCCCCACCAGCCCTGCCCCCATGTTTAGACGCACCAAGCAGGTCAGCACCACAGTAACTCACTGCTGCTACACGTTAATTTACTGATGTGTTTGTCTGAGCACTGAGCTGATCACTAAAACAGAGCAAGCAAAATCAAACTCACAAAAAGTAAAACCTCCAGGTAAGAATCTACACTATCAACTTAAATTCAGCATACAGCAAAACTTATATCCACATATTAAAAAAAATAGGTAAGGAAAAATAAGTTTTGTTCCTAATGTAGTAGTTTCAATAAATTGTTGAAACTGGTAGATTTCACTCTTGATTTACGGTGGCGGCTGCTCTGCCAGCTTTGAGTTGACACTCACACTTATCTCCGAAGCGAAATCCTACGTGTCCTTGACGCCTGAAAAGAAAAATGTTCCTTCTCCCCTCACCCACAGGAGATCAAATTGTCCCAGAAGATAGCAAAGAAATACTCATCCATTCCTCAGCTGTGGTCCAAGTGTCTGCTCCGTCACTGCTACGGTCTGTGGTTCATCTGTCTGCCGGCGTACGTAAAGGTGTGCCACTCCAAGGTGAGGGCCCTTCGTACCGCCTACGACGTCCTCAGGAAGATGCAGGCCAAGAAGTTGCAGCCCCCTGATGAGGTAAATATATGTTTTTACCAAATTTTCCCAACATTTGCACTAAAGTTCAACCAACACGTACCGAAACGTTTTTAATTTTAACTTCAGAGTTTTTCATTTACCTTTTTTCCTTAAGGTAAATTTTCCCTGGTTGTTTTTTAAGTAAATTGTAAAATAAATGTACAAATCCAGGTGTGTTACCGGGTGCTGATGCAGCTCTGTGGACAGTATGGTCAGCCTGTCCTCGCAGTCAGGGTCCTCTTTGAGATGAAGAAGGCTGGAATCCACCCCAACGCCATCACATACGGCTACTACAACAAGGTACACGCCTCTTGTGATTACGTCTGTTGTAAATCTGCACAAATGTGTGTAACATCAGAGACCCCAATTCAGACCTGGTACTAAAATCTGTCCTGAGTTTTCCACTCGTAAGTGGTCAGTAGTAAGCTCAGGTCCAAATCCAAATTCACCCTCAATGCGTCTTGACATCACAAGTGGTCACAGGAGACACATTCAGGACGTATTTTAATGTGTGAACTCAAGTTAACCAAAGAGACGTCGACTTGTGATTGGATCTCTCAGGACCGATGTGAGCACCAGGTCTGAACAGTCCACAGACATCTGGTCATTCGGCGAATGAACAGCATCAACCCTGAGTCTCTTTTCCAAACAGAGATCTTGCATTTACAGTGTGAGTAACAGATACAACTGGCCAATAACTGCGCTGTGCAATAGCTGACACAGTCATTTATAAAACAGATCAGCTCTGGGACTCCGAAGTATCACAGTATGCTGTCAGCCTGGGTGTGGTGTTCGTGATTTGGGTGTATACATACAATAAAGTCTGAGAACTGGCTGTTGTATAAATCAGATTGTTCTTAAGCTCACGTTATAGGGACATGGAAATACAACAGAAAGGATGTAAACGTAGGAGTCCCTGGAGGAGTCGGATCCACATGAGATCAAATAAATAGATAAAAGTTTGATAAAGTTAATTCTATTATCATGAGTTGCTTTAATATTCTAAATTGGTATTGATTGCATTAATTAGGGTTTGAATGCTTTTTCTTAAAACGCGAAGACGTACCATTGATTTATAGAAAGCTTCGGAAGCTGTTTGATGGATTATACATCAGACTGTTTGCAGCCTGGAGGCTTATTCCCGATACTCACTCATAAATAACTGCATCCAAATTATTACACCGCTGTGCTCGGCTGCTTCATCACTAAAATTCATTCCTCTCCTGTTGACGCTCGTGAGGCAGAGACACTTCATCACGGTAATCGCTCTGCACACGCTCGGCTTTCAGGTAAAAAGAAACATTGGTGACATTTGCAGTTTCCCTCCCCAAGGTCGTGTGACGTCATGTGAAGAACACACTCGGGTGTCAGGATGAATTGAGAGTGTTAGCAGCTCAAACTGTCCTGATGTGGCGACACGGGGATAATAAAAGTAAATAAGGTGACGTGGAAGCAGGCTTACAGACGACAAGGCCCCTGTAAAGGTTACTCTGATGTGTTTTGACGCCTCAGAGGTTCTTATTTCCTCTTTCAGGTGAAAGACTTTGATGAATAAAGTGTCCGATGCCTCCATAAACACAGACAGTAGTCAAAGTAAAAGCTGCAGTGAACACATAGTAGTTTATTTTTTACTTCTCGTGCCTCTTCAGGTCGTTGAAAGTGAGGAATGGGAAGGAGGAGGGAAGAGATGTTCTCTGTGTTTGTTTACATACTTATCTGTTCATTCTGTGATTTAATCCCAGTTCAGGATGTTTGGTTACATAAAATGTTTTTCAGGTATTTAAAATAAAGCCTCAGTGAAGAAGAAACTGCTGAATTAAAAGTGATCTGCAGCTCAATAAAATAAACCTGAAGCTAAACTGAACAGAATATTCCTCTTGACCTTGTATAGAGCAAAAATGACGAGGATAGTGATGTGATAACTAAAATATCAGTTACTGATTTTACTGCTTTTATTCTGTAAAGCTCTTTCATTGTTTGTCCGAAAAGATTAATTTGACAAATGTCCATCTTAGAGCTCTCATGTATTAAATGTAGAGCCTAACGAAGGCTTGTTAAGTCTCAGTCAGTCTGAGGCACAGACCACTGTGTGTCAGTCACATTAACAGATTCACTGCCAGTGGTTCCAGGATGTTCGTTTCACCTGGTCCACATCCTTACAGCCTCCACACAGCAGCAGCCAGTGTAATAAACTCGGTGCTGTTCAGAGGCATGCCAGTGATTTCTCTAAGGGGGCGTCTGAAGTGTATTTTAGGAGCAGACAGTGACAGTCGAACGTGACTTGGCCACCGACAGCTGCAGTGGCTTTTCTGTTCCGCCTCTGATGCCGAGAGTGACTGTGGATTCACACAGCAGTTAACGGCCTTGATGAAAAATTCATTCAAGATGGTTTTATGGAAAAGAGATTGGGTCAGTTTCAGTTCATTCAGTTCAAAATGTTCAAGATTAAGTCGCAGCTGCAGTTTTCAACATATTCAGACGCTTTGTCTTCAGTGGTTTATTGTAGTTTTTAGATGAATATATGAATATTTCAATGTGTGGAATAGAGAAAACACCCATATGTTTAATAATTAGAATTAAAAATGAACTGAATCTAACACGGCTACTAGAAAGGTTTCAAAGTCATTTGGCAGCAACATATTTATGCCTCCTTGCCGTTGAAGCCAGTGAAGGATTTCAGGTCATTTCCCATTCTTGTGAACACAACAGAACGCCTTGAAGGAATTTCTCCAAACCTTTGAACAGATTGAAGCTGGACTCAAGGATAAACTGATTTCATTTAGGTCGTCAAAGATCACTGTGACCTCACATATTGATTGCATTGTGAACGCATATCTCAGGAACACCTCAAGAGAATCCGTTCAGATTCAGCACAGATGTTCACTTCCACTCACGGATTAACAGATTCGATTTGGGTGGTCAAAGTTCAAAGGTCACGGTGGCCTCACAAAACGTGTTTGATCTCTTCAACATGATCTCAACACTGCTTTTTGGAATTTCTTCACCTTTTGACCAGTTGTCACTTGGACTCAGAGATTCATTTAGGAGATTTCAGGGGTTAAAGGTTAAAAGTCATGGTCATTTCAAATGAGTCTGGAAAATAAATGTATGTAGACTAAAACTGCACTGGTTTATGAGTGCATACAACTACAGGGCAGTGATTCTAATTCCTTTACTTACCTTTTTGTCCCTGTGTGTCTTTCCTCCTGGTGTCCAGGCGGTGCTGGAGAGCACGTGGCCCTCCAGCACCAGAGGAGGATACTTCCTGTGGATGAAGCTGAGAAATGTCGTTCTGGGCGTGGCGCAGTTCAAACAGGCTCTACGACGGCATGGTCCTGTCACCCAGAGCCCTCTGTCAGGTAACTGGGATTAGACAGAAACACCCTGCATGTCTGAGAGGAAGAAAGAAAGTAATCTCACAGACGCTATAAAAATATTCGCCTTCCAAAAATCCACAAGAAACCTAATATCAACATCCTCTGAAAACCTTCAGCAGTCTACTGTTTCATGAGCATAGATAGAAAGTTTGTAAACCATATGAGGGAATAAAAAGAACCACAAGCACATTTGGAAAGCAGCTGTTCACAGCCCACCCATTTGCAAACAGAGCTCTGTGTATGATAATAAAATGTTGACTCAGAAGTCGTTACTGCTTCATTAAGAGGCAAGAAAATGTGTGAAAATACACAAATTGACTCCTATAAAAAAAAAAAGGGTGTAAGACTCTGGAGTCTGACACTAATCTGTTTTCATTTAAATCAACACTATGTAAACTTTGGAAACTCCGCGTCAACATGAAGTTTAAATCACCACTTCTATGTGCCTGGATTTGAGTTTTGATGAAGTTGTTATTACCCATGATTCCCACTCATCAAAGTTACATAGAGCAGACGCTCAGGGTGCAGAGTGGGAAAGAACTCAACCATCAAACTCATTTTAATGAAGCTGCTTGCTAAACAAGTTTCATTGCGTTGCTTTAAGACGGTAGAACCGTAAAACACAAGCATCTCAACATGTGTGATTTAACTCACCTGCATGCCAGTGAACACCTGCACGTCAATCCCCGTCCTGCTAAACCCGGCTTTTTTTTTAAGACACTCGCTTGAACCAGAGTTAATTATTGTGTTCAAGCCTCCTCGTCAGTTGTGATTTAGTTTGAACACATTCAGTTATATTGTCCACACATCTAAAAGACACATGGAGTGTGTGGATGGATGAAAAAACGCCACTAATGACAATTTGTAATACTTTATTATTTAACTCTCCCTCACCCTCTGACTCCACTCCTGCCACCAACATCACATTTCATCCTGTAGTAATAACTGGCCAACACTTGAAAGAAAAACTATAATCTTCTATCAGCTGTTCAGTGACTGGAACTCCCATTTACATTTGGTATTAATTGGAATTAAATATTTAGAATTTCACATTTTTCACATGATTTCTTCGCTTATATTTACCATTGATTTACACGTCCTTCCATATTTTAACAATTATTTTCTTGTTTTGCAATCCTTCATGTTTTGTGTTGTAAAGTGCTCTCTATATAAAGTTATTATTATTATTTGTATTCTGGCATTTTGAAGCTTTTCAACACTTAATTCTTATTTCATTATTCTGGTTCAGCTGAATTTATATCAAACTACAATGGGCACTCAATACAGCTCATCTGCCAAGGCCCAACAATCCCCTTCTGAAACCAAATTTAAATTCACTACATTCACTGGATTTTTATTTGGATCTTCACTAAATTGCACAAACACATAAATATCAGTCCCTTGATGATGCCTGATTTTTTTTATTTTCATCAAGATCCATAATTGTTTTCTCTGAGGAATCAAGGAAAATGTTAAAAAAAAAAAAAAGTAAGTGAAAAGAAAATCTGGATCCAGACCAAAAAACCGAAGTTTCGTAGAATTCTGTCTGCTGGTTTTTGTGTAATCCTGCTAAAAACAAACAAAGCAGGTGAAAACATAACCTTCCCAGTGGAGGTAATTAAAGTAAGACACCAGCAAGATACTGTTTCCTGCTTGAGACGGTCCTCGTCTCTTACTTAACATCACCTGAAGGATTTTAAAAGATATTTATTTGAATGTGTAACAAAAAAGTTGAAGATCAGAGGAGCCGCAAGCGAGCCCTGCTTCCTTTAACCCGCTGTTGTCTTTGGGCAGATGGCAGCGACCTGGACGCTGTGAGTCACGGCAGCCTGGATAGCTCTGTCGACACTAACGTGGCCGAGCAGGGTCACTACGCCACTGACTCCGTCAAAGTAGACCCCACTGATGATAGATCTAGCACAGGTACACTTCAAATGGCTGCTGCTTGTCTCCATCATTAAGAGGCAGCCATTTTGTTCTACTGTACATCTTTTTCTTTACTCTCAATGACATCTTTTTTTTTTTTTTTTTTACCCTCCTTCCTCATTTGTCCCACTCACCGACTTGGCCTCCTCCTCCTCGTTTCCCTCGTACACCTCCTTCCCTCCGCTGCCTGTTTTTCCACCTTCCTTTCGTTTCCCGTTGTTCATCCGTGTCTCTCCCTGGTTTTGCGGCTGTGGTTTCTGCTCTGCTCTGTCCCTAACCCTGCCCTTCACTCTGGCCCTACCTGTGTTGCCCTTGCATGCAGTTGGCCGTGGGGGCGGCAGCGTGGGCACCAGGGCCCCGGTGGCCCACTCCCACTGTGGGGGCTCTGAGCTCAGAGAAGCCACCCTCCACCCAGGTAAACCTCTCTGTCTGTCTCTCTCTCTCTCTCTGTCTCATCTTTGCAGTGTTTCCTCATTGCCACTCTTTTCCTTTTTCTGTTTCTCTCTCTCTCTGATCTCTCCTCCTCTGTCTTTCTTCCACCACGCCATCTTTCCACCCGGCACATCACAGTCGGATGCTTCTGTGCTGCTCTTCTCTCTTTTGGTTTCTCTCTTGCTCTCCCCTCACGATTCACCACTGAGAGATTTGTCATTGTCAATTATGGCGTTTAATTACCCAGGGACACATTCTTTCTGATTACGGAAATAATTGTAATCACAGAGTCGGCACCTCTGCAGGAGACTTTGCGTGGTGCGCACAAAGAGTGAGAGAGAACCTCAGCTCACAGCACAGCAGGGAAGGACCTTGATGTGCCATTTATTGATTATCACAGTCCTAGAATGGTTTTAGTCCCTTGGCATCATATGTGAGTCGCTCCATACTATGCTGCAGCTTTGCCACGCCGCCCTTATGCTTTATTTAGCATTGATGGCCAAGGAGGCTCATGGGAAAGATAAAAGAGGAGAACAAATCATCAGACAGCTGGTTGCCTGCAGGTTCAGGAAAGTTAAAGAGACAGGTGGAAGATTCAGCCCCGAGTGACAGCAGGCTTCTTTTACTCCCTGAAGTCAGGTCTTCACAGTGAAATTCCTGAGCAGCTGTGAACGTGCCGTTTGTTTCCGTACAGTAACTGTAGAGCTGCGTGCCCTCAGGTGGTGTCTTTTATTCAGCACAGCTTTAGTTGCTGTTTCTCTCCTCTCTCCCACAACAGAGCAGATAAAAGGGAAGAAATGCCTCTCTGGCTTTTCCTCTTAATGTCTCATTTACGTTTCCTTCCGGCAACAAAAGATTCACAACTTCTTTTTTTTTTTTTTTTTTTGTAGACACTGAATATAAAGGACATCTGGCACATACAGTAGTGGTGGTAGGCAGAGGTGCCGTTTTGAGAAGCTAGAACTTGATTCCTTCTTCCT